CATCAGATGTTCACTGGATACAGTGTGAGCCCCACTGGCCACAGTAGTGGATGGAAACATTAATCATAGCCTTTAAATATCATGTCATGCACTATAAGAGAATTGGTGTTATGAATCCTCTAGTGGACACAGCCAGAAGTGCAGTTAGAATCAAGACAAGACTTGTAATAGATCCAAATGGAAATGATGTGACAAAATGGCCGAGTTCACAGTGAAGTTATACTGGAATGTTTACCAGAGAGCTTGGGATTGTCACTTTAATGGACTTCACACTGACTAATAAATGTGATTAAGAATTTAAAAAAAAATACAACAACAAGTCGTTCATCACAGCTGCAGTCCTCCACAATCCACCGGTGAACACTGTGGTGTACCTGTTTTAAAGTTCCAGGTTTCAGCAGGTTTCCGAGGTGCACTTAAAAAAGTGCCAAGTTCTGCTCTTTTTGTAGTTTACTTTGTACCGCATTGCAACACGGGCGCCAGCTGTGATGTCAATTAAATAAATAATAAAAGCGGCCTGTGTGCATAAATCCAGGCAGCCTGGCTCCTCCGCCGGCAACGGTGAAATTTGCTAACTAATAACATCCGCACTGTTCAGCCTCCACTCGCTTGTCCTTGCAGTTAGCTCCTTTGTAGTTGTCTTTGTTGTGGTTCATGAATATACAATGGGTTTCTGTTGTGTTTGTCTGGAAGTTTGTTTTTTTGTAATGTTGTCATACCAAACCTCCAATGTCACAGAGCTTATTATAAATAATCATAATAAAAAACATTAATATATTGTTAAAGTATTGATGTTGTCATATGTGTCCATAGCAACCACCCATATACTTTCCATTCAAAGTCACCAAGGCCGTCATCCTGAAACCAAACCTCAGCAGATCTCTCGCTCTTTATTTTCAGATATTTTCCAAGGCAAGTGGTCCCTACTGTAGGGCCCAGTGGGTGAGAGGGCCAATCCCTTCCTACATTTTAGGTTAGACCAAAAACATCTTACTTTTATGAACCTCATAGTTAGATTTGAACGAGGAGACAGTGAACTATCCATCAGTTTAGGAGTAATAGGCCTAGACAACTGGGGGAACTCTCGTATCTCCCAGTGAGGTGGTGTTGACATTTCTCTATAAAAGACCACATGGGAACGTTATTGGTGGTCTAGTACTCACAGTACCTGCCACTGAAAGGGTCTGGGTTAGATACTACCTAGTCCACATATCGGTGTAAAAACCCCCTGCCCTCTCTCTCTCAGTATGTACTGTGGGGCCAAAGACTTAGTGTGTGAAGTCTTTGGCCATTTTTTTTTATGTTTGTCATGATACAAATAAAAGCGTTTTGATTTCAATTATATTCTTGGCTCATGCGTCCAGTACGGCTTTGTCAGAGAGCTCAACATACTGGTGTGGAACAGCAACAGCTGCAGAGGAGTTCAAGTCTGGGGCAAAACAAGTCCACACCACACCCAGCATCCAGCAGACCAGAGCAGTGTCAAGGGCAAGAATCCACAACAGGTGGCGTTGGAGCTCAGATTAGCGTGCATTCAGACAGTAGCAGGCATGGGCACAGCAGTGGCACGCTTTCACAGTTGCAGCGGTCTCACTGTTCACTGGTGATCATTAACACTGACTTTTTATGACTCCCTCCTCCCCTTCACCTCCACATCACACCCTGCTCTCCATCATTTGTACCCATGTCAGTGTCACCCCGCCCCCCGTGGATCCATGCCAGTACTTCGAGGCATGAACCGGGGGACACAGGTGGTTTCATGGCATGCTCATGCAAAGTGTCTCTCACCATTCTCCGGAGATTCTAAGGCGTTGAAGGAAAAATATCAGATGTGTCATGGCAGGGAACCGACACTGGGCTAATAATATGGTTCCCTTGTTATTCTAGCCATTCTGCTGTTCTGTACAATGTGATGACAGAATCAAAAACATTCAAGCAATACCAGCAATGCAGACTCCTGTTTGGTCTGGCTGTCAATTATTTTAATATCCTAGTGCTGGAAAAAAACAAAACAAACAAACTTCTGTTTGGTTTTGGTTGTTTTCAAGTGACAGCTAATCAAGTAACGCAGTCGGAATAAATGTGCCTAACACTGCAAGGGACTTTGGTAACCGACAGAAATCTGCTATATTTTATAGGAGAGATAAAAGAACAGTTTTATCTGACGTGGTGAAGGTAAAAATATTTGAAAGGTATATCAAAATAATGATCAAAATGATACATTCAGTTTGTCTAGTCCTGGAAAATACACTATATTTTTACTACCAACAACAAAAGCACAACATGTTTTTTTATATCAACATTTCAACCTTTATTTACATATCTGGAACAGCTTGTCTTTTACAATGTTAGGAATAACCAAGTAAAATAAAAAAGACAACAATACACAAGGTACAATTCAAACATGGATGAAGAAAAATACCCTGACTTGATTGCAGGGAAAAACACATCAATGTCTTGGAAGTTGTCATGAGTCAGGGCTGCATTTCAGAAAGCAGGACAAGAGCAAATCATCACACACAATTACTTCATGCAGTGCATTTTAGGTAACACTCACAGAGCAGTGGATTAATCCAATGGTACACTATAAATACCACACAGCACCGTGGACAGTGAAGTAAACCCAGGATATCAGAGCTTAATTAAACTGACAATGTCTGCTCGACACTATTATCAAATATGACATTGATATTATAAAATAAATATTACAACATACGACGAAATAACTGAAAATGTTTACGCAGAATTATTTGCATCTAACAGGATCAGGGTAGTTAAAAAAGTTTTATATAAATGTTTAAAACGATCGTTTACGCAGAATTACTTGCATCTTACAGGATCAGGGTAGTTTTATATAAAGTTTTATATAAATGTTTAAAACGATGAAATCAAGTTCTACAAACTACTGTTCATATTTGTGAGTCAGTAGTTCAGACCTGTGTCACACTACAGATTCCTTGGCTTGCACCCCCATCTGCTGTTGTAAATTTGTAATTACATTAACGTTCTTTTTTCTTGTTTTTCAATATTGTGATTTTCTTGCAAAACAAAAGAATAAACACCAAGTTAAAAACAAAATCCCCAAATTTATTTTCATTCACGTTGGAATTTTAACGTATCTCCAAAGAAGGGTGAAAACATATTGCTATTACCACACTGTATTTTAAACATTCTGTAGCCTACCTTAGAATCCAAAATAATTTACCGTAACTGTTTAAATAGTGGACACTGTGTGAGCGGATTGTGAGACACCGTCATAATCCGCCATGTTTGGTGTGTACTGTAAAATCAAAAGGTTAAGGAAATGAGGAAGTGGTCCCACCTTCAGGAGAACCGCAGAGGTGAGGGAGTGGCCACCTGACAGTGTTACTCAACTCTACACTCAGACCTGGACTCTGTGTGAGGAATAACGCTGTCAGTCTTCACTTCTTGGTGCAATCTGACAGAATAAGGTAAGAAAATAAAAAAGTATTTCAGTTTAAATGTTTCTTTCTTCTAGTGAAGGGAGTTTAGAGGAGAAGTAAGAAATGGTTGCTGTAGGCCCAGCATTGGTGACCAAAACAGTCTTTACACATTCATGTACTTTGTAACAGAAGCTGTGCTTTCTGGCTTTTAGGTAAATACTATTTTTGTTTAGTTTATTTTTTAAAGTTTTTTCTATTTGGTTTTCAGAAGGTTCAGAAATGTCCTAGAGCTTTACTATTTGCAGTATTTATATGGTAATGAGTAGATTTTAACGACACACTGTGTTGTGTGTAAAAGTAAAGTACAGACTCTTCCTTTTCCCACAGATAAAGACAGATAGAACACACACTAGTTCACTTTCAAAGCATGTCTGTGCAGGTGAAGGAGCAGGCAGCCACATTCCAATGCCTGGGGTCATGACGTTGCAATATGCAGACCCCCGTTAACACAACACTGTCTCAGTGTGTACAGCCGGCAGAGAAGACAGCTTCTGCTGTGTGTTACAGATGAGTTAGCCGAAGGCTTTGGTTTTATATTTCCTCATTAAGAGGCTACAGACAAGTAAATGGTTAATAACGCACGCTCAAAGTTGACAACGAACGACGTAGGGTGTCTGTAAAACTGTACCACCGGATACACTTCCAGAACATGTCACGTGAAAGGACAAAACTGACAAAAAGACTGTGTAATTTATAGCATCACTACTGCAAACGAGGACAAGTTGGAACAAGAGTCAACAAATAGTCAGTCATATGTTTACTAGAAGGCAGTAGTTTTCAAATGGTGGTCCACGGGCCCTGAGAAGTACCACTGGGGTTGGAAAAGTATTGGTCAATAAGAGAATTTTGTAAAAAAAAATCTTAAGCATAAAACATATGCACGCAAATGTAAAAACAAGGTATATTTTTTTATAACATAATGGCATTATGTTTTCATGTCGTTTTGAACCAAAACCTAAAAGTCAGTTTATCAGCATCTTGTTTAATCTACACGACAAAATATTAACGCTGTTTTAAAGACGAATGGTTCCAACGTTGTTCTTTCAACAACATTGAACATAACTGTGATGACTGTGACTGTAGTATTTCAGAGCAGCTGCTGGTGCAGGCTTGTTGACTGGTGCAGTTTCTGTGGAATTCCATTCCCATTTTTCACGTCTTAGTCGTTGTCACTCAGCACTGACATTACAACAGTAATGAATTCAGTACAACTGGATGAAAATGCAGGGGTTTAAAGATAAAATAATACAAATATAATTATGTGCAGAATAGAGATTAATTTGTCTAAATGTCAGGACACTGAATATTCCTACTTTGTGTCTGTCTTTTTGTACTTCAGTATTTCTGACAGACCAAGTTTGTTTCACCTAACAGATTGTGATCAAACATCTCTCTCGAGAATCGTTGTTACCATAACAACTCAAGTGCCAGCACGGCATTGAGTGTGGGGCAGACGCGAGAGCCTGGAAAAAAGTTGTTTTGTTTGCTTAGGGATAAAAAAAAGAGGGAAAAGAGAAAAAGTGGAGTGGTGTTAAAAACAGACACAGAGTCTGCTGGGTATTTTAATTGGGGACTTCTGCTTTTGTCCTTGGTATTTTTAGATTGTGTGATTTCACTTTGACAAGACTGAGCTCAGTCTGACAGGACTGTCCTGGTTATTTGGCACAAAGACCAGGCCTGTCTCACAAAATGATGTCATCATGATGTGTGATTTGGTTTAATTTAACGCTCACTGAAATAGTTTCCTAGAATATTTACATACAGATGTGAACTCCTGACAGTCAATGAAGCATCAAACTTTTACATATCTTTTTGAAAAAGAGAAACATTTTAGATACAGAAGAAAAGAAAAAAAACATTGTGAACAATACATAGATTCATAGATTACACATCAACAGTTCAGTCTGCAGACAGAGGAAACAGTTACAGCATCACTTGTTGCAAAATGATGGCCACAGCCAGTTGCAGTGACTGAGCTAAAACCTGAAAAATTCTTTCATTTGCTTTGTGCATAAAATAAACCTTCAAAAAGTGTCATGACAGCAGGTGTTACAGTGTGGAGATGCACTTTATATACAGCACCTCAATACGTTTATCCAACCCACTTTAGCACAGGAATGTACGTGTATAGTGACATCACCAAACACTCACTTCCATGTTTTTCTGAAAAGGTTTTTTAGACCTTAATCTCGTATGAACTTCTGCTCTGCCCTCAACTCAAACACCTCCGTCAGGCCTCCCACACCCAGACGATGGTGCAACACGCTAACCACGCTGCATACTCATCTTCTCTCTCTATCTTTTCTTTCTCACTGTGTGCTCACACACACACATTTACACACAAACATACGCAGACGCAGCCCTTCTGGGGAATTCATGGCCTCAGGCTAAGAAAAACACAGCTCTGTCCAACAGCAGAGAGCTAAGAGAGAAAAGCTAACGCAGCTCAGCTCCTTCACAGCAGACTCGCAGCATGGGGCCTCGTTTTTGTGAGAACGTGTTATGACAGTTTCACTGACGGACACTGCTGTGAGGTTGAACGGGCAACAAGACGAAATCTTTGCCTAGAGTGAGTATTCGCTCTCTCACGCTCCTCTCTCACCTTGTTTGCTGTGTCAATAGACTCTGGATTGACAAAGCCAAAAGGTCCAGAGTCACAGTATGTTGGGTTGGTGTGAAGTAAAAGGGTTTTTTGATGTTGTATGTCAGGGAGTAACTGGATGGTTACGTAAGACCTAAGACAGTACAGCTGTAACCTGTAACAGGACTGGAGGTTTGTTTATTTCTGTCACCAACATTGGTAGAATTAGAACAGGCTTGTTTCATCCAGGGGGCAAAATATGGGCACGTCTCACGTCTATCTATTGAAAACAGTTTTGACCCAGTCACCAAACTGGATGCATATAAAACTAAAATATTACAAATAAGGAATTAAAAATGGCGCCTCTCTTGTGGCCGCCTGTTGCTGCTGCTCCTGCCAACCTTTGCTTTTTTTCCAGGTCTGTTTTGCTCTCTTTACTTTTTCTGTATTATTTGCTTTGTTTCTTTTAAAATTCTAAACTCATTCAGAAATTAACAGTGTGTGTTCGACCAGTACATGTGAATTATGGAATAAAATCACTCAATACTTTGGGAACTACTTGCACCACACCACACTCAGGACAGTTCCCAACCGATTGTGTAACCACTGTCAAATGCAGCGAAGATGACTTAGTCATCACTCTGGCATCCACACTTTGCCCATATCCGGTGTGTTGTATGGTTACTAATGTTTAGTGTTTTCACCATGTAACTAGTAAACAGCAGGTTTCCTAAAAGTTAACCACTCTTTGTACCGCAGTAACATTTTAAATTTATTTAAAAAAAAAAAGAATTCCGAAAGTCTTTTGTTGACGTAGATGGTTAAGTCTCTGCACCGGCAGATATTTTCTTCCTGTAAATCACACAAGCCCTCACTTGAAGTGACGGTTAGAGGAATGTAATCAGTCGATCGGAGAAACACATGATGTGAGTCAGAGTCAGCGCACAGGATTAAAGTGTAGATGTAGGAGCGTAGTACTGACATATAGTACTCTAATGTCAAAGGCTTGACATAAAACCACGTGCACATACACCTGGGATGTGTACACATTGGATTAATCTCAAGCTCTGTGTTTTTTAACAGGATGTTGTGGATATGATGTAAGCGAACAAACCTCCATCATGTATGAGGTAATGTTAGGTGATACGATGACCTGGAAGGTGCCCTGTCCAAAGGAGAGTGAACCTGAGCCCAGTCCGGAGTCTCTCTTCACGGGGGATGGAGGACCCACCAAGATCCTCAAAGTTTGTTTTTGCACCAACAACAACCTGGGCAAGAACTTCAAGCTGGTCAAATGCGACAGCTCCTGGCAAATCAGGGTAGGAGTCACGACCAAAACAGACGAGGCTTTACTGGCTTTAATGTGTGCTTTAAGTTTCCGTGTGTTAAGATTCCACCATGACTCCTTCAGGCCATCATCCGTTCCATTTTGGTGAGTGGTCGTCTGGGGCCCAACATCAAGCATGCGGCCTGCTACGGTCTCCTGCTTAAACATTTAAAGTCTGAAGAACTCCACTGGCTGCATCCTGATCTGACTGTAGGAGAGGTGGAGGAGCGCTATGAGAGCCATCATGTGGAGGCTGAGTGGAGGTACACGCAGACGTTTGTCTATTATTTATTGGTTATTTACTGGATGAGAGCTTAAAATAAACATCTTGGGAAATATTTACAGGGTGAGAAAAAAACAACTTATAAACTTCTCTGTGTTACTCTCCTCCACACAGGTACGACCTCCGTATCAGATACGTTCCAGTGAAATTTCTGGAAAAATTCAACGATGACAGATCAACTTTAATATATTTTTACCAACAGGTAAGTAGGATTTGGTTTTTTTACTTTTTCATCACGAAGATGATTTAACTGAGAGTAATGCACTTTAACCATTTAGTGCTTCTACTGCTAAAGATGATTGAGATAATATGAGGGGGGAAGTGAACTTATCACCATGAATGTGCACAGAAGACTTCCTTTTATTTCTGCAGTGTATGACAGAAATGATGGTAGATCAGCAGCAATCTGCAACAAAGCTAGTCCTAAGTAGTCTACTAGTACATCAATGCTAAGTTTTTTGTACTTGTTAGTTATCATGTGATATCACTGTCCAACTTCACATCAGGTGCGTAGTGACTATATGCAGTATCATGCCAGTAAAGTGAGTGATGGGATGGCGCTGCAGCTGGGCTGTTTGGAGATCAGGTGAGTGTTTTCTCTCAACAACATCTGTACAAGTTTGGATCAGATCTAAAAGGCCAATAATCATCAAGCCAAACCCAAATGTCATCAAATCAATCTTGAAATGCCAAAAATGGTAAAGAAGACAGCTAAAATTAGCTTAGATATAGCTAGAAGTTCTGTAAAAAAAGATACAGATACAAGACCACCAGCCAATCAGGTTGGAAATTAAAAAAAAAAGAAATCAAAGAAAAAAGTATACAAAAGTAGGCAAAAGGTTAGCTCAAAGCTAACAAAAAAATCAATCAAAATAATAAGTGGTTCTACATTTATTTAAATGAAAAAATGGTAAGTTAATACAATAACTCATGTTTTGATAGATTGTCTTTAACAATAACATACTACATTTAATGACACTATTAATGTGTGTTATAAAAATAGTCACAATTTTTGTGTTTGTAGAAACACAAACTCACATGTTTGTTTTTTCCTGTGCTTGTGAAGGAGATTCTATAAAGACATGAACGCCAAAGGTCTGGAAAAGAAGTCTAACTTTGAACTTTTAGAGTAAGTACCTGTTACTTTGTTAATATTATTTCTGGGTTATTTTACTTCCTTAAAACCCTGTTTTCCTATGAGTAACATCTAACTTTTCTTCCTAAATGTAGAAAAGAAGTTGGCCTGGACCTTTTCTTTCCTGAACAACTGATTAACAGCATGAAGGTGAGTCTGCTACGATGACGACTGCATTCACCGAGTCTTGTCTTCTACGGACACCGTGTCAAACCAATGTCTCTGCTGTGATCCAGTCAAAGCAGCTGAGGAAGATGATTCAGCAGACCTTCCAGCAGTACGCCATGCTGAAGGAGGACGACTGCATGGTGAAGTTTTTTGAGACCCTCAAAAACTTTGTCAACTACGACGAGGAGGTTTTTCCTTGTGAACTAGTGGTGAGTCCTTGTCATTGCGTTTTACTTTTAAGCCCCGCTACCACCACACATTTATGACTGTACTATTCACTGGACAAGATAAATAAAATTATAAATAAGTGCATTTTACTTCTCTCTTTTCTTCACTGTGGCATAGACGGAAGACAATAATCTAAAATGTTTCCGCTGCTTTGACCCATATCTGTATCATCTTATCAGTTTTGTATTGTAAGGACACTTCATGGTAAAACTGATGTTGTCTGTATGTGAAATAGAACCCAGGCTGTTGCAAAATCACCACTTCCACAAATACACACACACTCACAACTGCATATTTAAACTCATATATTACAAGCACTGTACTCAGAATTGATAACCACTTCCCTTACGCAGCTACAGGAGTCAGCGTCATATTTTCATCGAAATATCTACAAAATTGTTATCTACAAAAACGTGATGATTTTTATCTGAAGTTATATAACTGACCACAGCTGTCCTTTTTCAACAGCAAGGTTGGAGTCTGTCTGTGGAGCTGGTCATTGGTGGGAGGGGCATCAGACAGCGCACACAGAAGGATTCAGCGGTATTTCTTGAACACTTTTTGGACTCTTAACACACACATCAACAAAAACACACCTGTGTCTCCTGAAGTCATAAAGTCTGAGTCTGACTACATTGTCAGCAGACATCCAGTGGCCTTAGTCACTGTGTGTGAGTCAGTCCCACTCATCTCAGTCTAAGGTGCTCTGTCCCTCTGCCCCCCCCAGGCCGTGTTTCTGGCCGACTTCAAACAGATCAAGTCGGTACAATGTTTATCCCAGAGCGACGGCAAAGCTCTGCTCAACCTCAACATAGAGGGCGCCAGACAGGTGAGGGCCCCCACAAAGAAATCAGACACTGATTAACACATGCGTTAATCATTGACAAGGAACTTTTTTGTTTTGTTTTGCCTTATCCTCATGAAAGCATCTGTCGATCAACGTGGCCACGTTACCTATGGCCGAGAACATGATGGAACTCATCGATGGCTACTGCCGCCTGGAGAACGATACTGAGGAGTCCGTTATCTTTCGGTCAAATAAAAAAGGTGCGTATGACCCGGAAACTGCAATAGTCATGGAGGGAGTGAGAGATCGATGGCGGTCTGTAATCATTGTTTATTTTCATTCTAGATATTTCTTCACGTAACCCTCTGCCTGATATTCCTGCAGTGTGAGTGACATTTGGTTAATTTTGCAGATTTAATGGCTGCCCATTATTTTTACTCAAAGTCAAAATAGTTTTCGTTCTCTTTGGCTGCTCAGTGGGTTTGAAAAATGTGTTTTTGATGGGAGGGAGTGTCTTACTAAATCACAGTGTAATCACTGTGCAAATTTATGACTGAAGCTCTTTTATTTTCTCAAACAGCCGAGACAGCACGATCAGACACAGCATGGGTGAGCTAACATTTTATTCTACCCCAAATGGCCTCCATTGTACCAAGCAGTACACATTAACTCTAATCTTCACAGTTGAATCAGAATCTTTTAACAAATGCACGTATTCCTTTGGATCCACACAGGGTCAGACATCTACTGTGAGATCGACGAAAGGCCAAAATCAGGTCTGTCACAGTTTCTATCAAGAGTTTCAGAAATATAAACATGAAAAGTCAAAACTGTTGTATTGACATAAACTACTTTTTGTAGTGGTGAGGTATGGAATCGACCGAAATAAAATTGTTCTTGGACGCACCCTTGGTGAGGGTTTTTTTGGGGAGGTCTACGATGGAGTTTACAAAAAATCTGTAAGTACACCCGACCAATCAAAATGAAGTAGCATTCTAGGACCAAAATATGAACCGAATATATGTGTATAATGTGGTAATCCATATGCATTGTCATAAATTATTTTAACAAAAAGGTTAACTTATTATTTTTTTCTCAGAATGGTGAGAGGGTCAATGTGGCTGTGAAAACCTGCAAAGACTGTTCACCTGATGTGATGGAGAAGTTCATGAGTGAAGCAGGTGATGAGGATCTGGAGAAAAAGTCAAGAACTAGGATTGACTGGAATCTTAGTGACATATTAAAAGTTAAACTCCTGTTCCTTTGTCAGTCATTATGAAGAACCTGGACCATCCTCACATCGTCAAACTGATCGGCATCATCGAGGAGGATCCTGTCTGGATAGTCATGGAGCTTTACCAGTTCGGAGAGGTTGGTTACAGCTGTGGTGTCATCATTAGTAAAAGTTTAGTTCTCTGAGAAGTAGGTTTATGCTTTTACGGTGTTAGAGGACATCGAGTTCAAGTGTGTTTAAAAATAAAAACCACTAAATTCACGTCTCTAACCCCAGCTGGGAAACTACCTGACGGAGAATCAGAACAAGCTGACAAACACCACTCTGGTCCTGTTCAGCCTGCAGATCTGCAAAGCCCTGGTCTACCTCGAAGGAGTCAATTTGGTTCACAGGTGGAGATTATGAAGTTGTGCTGTTGAAGTGTAGATACTTGTACAGGAGGTGTCATCGTTGTGTGTTTTTATGATTATTCACAGAGACATTGCAGTAAGGAACGTGCTGGTTGCCAGTCAGGTCTGTGTGAAGCTGGGAGACTTTGGTTTGTCAAGGTACATAGAAGAGGAGGAGTACTACAAAGGTAAAGAAAAAACAAGGAAATAACTCTGTAGGATCGGAGTCTCTTACAAATGGATGAAGAGTTACTTGACAGTAAATCCATGTTCTAAAGTTTTTGGTTTTTTTTTTGCAGCGTCTATAACTCGGTTGCCCATCAAGTGGATGGCTCCAGAGTCCATTAACTTCAGACGTTTCACCACAGCCAGTGACGTTTGGATGTTTGGTGAGGAACACACTCCACCACAGCAGCTTGTAAACACAGTAGACACGGAGGAAAAGAAAGAGAGAAATGACAATCTGTCTTTCAGCTGTCTGTGTGTGGGAGATTATGAGTCGCGGCCAGCAGCCATTCTTCTGGCTGGAGAACAGAGATGTCATCAACCAATTAGAGCAGGGCATCAGGCTGCCCAAACCTGAAAACTGCCCCCCTGCCCTCTACTCACTCATGACCCGCTGCTGGTCCTACGACCACAGAGAGAGACCCAGTTTCACAGAGCTGGTGGTCAAGATCTGGTGAATGGATGAACAGAACGATGAAGTCGTCTTTGTTTATGTCCTTAGAGGTGAATTCACGTATGTTTATTTTATTTTGTCCCTTCAGTGATGTCCACAAGATGGAGAAGGAGCAGGAAGTGGAGCGAGAGAGGGACAGAGTCCGCTCCACTAAGTACTTTGAACCCAAGGTCAACCTGAGTGAACCTCCTCCCAAAGTATGGATCTGTGTTAGCTACAAACTACAGATGACATCAAATTAAATGTAAATTTGAACCTTCATTTTTAATCTTACTTTTTTTCTGTAGCCCACGAGAATGAAACCAGGACGGTTTGGGAACACACTCAGTATTGGTCTGCACATCCAGGTACTGAAAGTATCCTCTGGACTTGACAGTGTTCTCCAGGTGCTCAGTTTGTGATCAATGTGTATTTGTTTCTGTCTGCAGCTGAATGAGGCTTTATGTGCCAGCTCACCAGATTTGGCCAGTCCCTGTGAGTATCAGTCGCCCGTGGACTCCAGGAACTCTCTGGCCTTACCAGTTAGATCTCCCCGTCGTCGCAGTATGGGGGTAAGAAGGACTTCAGTAGTAAGATTGCATAGTAATTCCCAACATTTTGTGAGCCACGGCACATATTTTACATTGAGTAAACATTACATTTGAGTTTCTCTTTACTTATTTAGTGTGCAACTTGGGCCTGTTTAGTTGAACACAATGCTGGTATACTTGCAGGAATTAAAGAGAGATGCTTGTCACATTTTCGTGCTCCCCCTGTAGGAGGGCGAGTTTTTTCGTGTGGAACCAAACAGCAGGGAGGATGCCCAAAGGCTGTGGCAGCGGGAGCGCCAAAACATGCACGCCACTCTCCGACAGCAGAAAGCCGAGATGGCTGAAGATAGAATGTGGCTGGAAAAGGAAGAGAAACTCCTGGTGGGAAAGAGAGCATCATTCACGTTTGTCAATCCCATCTCTTTTTCTCTCTATCCCCCTGCTCCTGAAATCAACGTGGCCTTGGAGGCTGAGCTGACCGATCCAACGCTAAACAATAGAAACCAAGTCGCACGTTCTCGACGCCCCGCTAGTCTTATTTTAAATGTCCCTCTGATAACAGTTCCAAAGAGAGGCTCCACCTCCATATGCTATAAAATGAATCTGCCTGTTCTTTTGCAGGACCCTATGGGACCAGAAGGTGTCCCCAGCCCAGTGGTAGGTGATTTGTTCTGATCCTGTTTACCTTTAGCATGAGCAGCTGACTGTGTTTCCACAAGTTATTTTCTAACTTCTCATACACTTTGTCTTTCTAATCTTTTTTCTTTTTTTTTTCTTTTTAGTCTCCAGAAGACGCTTTACCGAATGGCAAGTGCACAGAGAAACCACAAATAAAACCACAATTTAATCGATTCTAAAAAGCTATCATCTGTCTCCTAATCCTGTTGGCGTCATTCTTTTTCTCTGTGTCTCTTATAACGTTTATCTTTCTGCCTCACAGCCCCACCAATGAAGCCTCCACGGCTCACAGCGCAGGTGATTACATCAATTCATTCTGGCTGTGATAATGAGTCACTGATAACGCCAGCTAAATATATAACAGGCTTGATGTTACCGATAGGCAATGTGTAATATAATCAGAGGTGGAATATCTTCTCTGACTTATCTGTTTTAGTCATTAAAATATCCATTACTTTTTTTCATTTTTTTTTCAAGCCTGCACCCACAGCAGAACTGGACCGCTCTGATGACAAAGTGTACAAGTCTGTCATGGACGTTGTCAAAGTCGTGGTTCAGCTCAAGAATGACATCACTGGAATGCAGCCAGATGCATATATCACTGTTGTGAAGGTACTTTTGGGAGCGTTTACCTAATTAGCATTAGCTTTAGCATATTAGGAGAACTCTAACACGTATGAACTGTGACCCCTGACTCCTCAGGACTGACTGGTTCTCATCGTTGTTCTCTGTTCTCAGTCTGTAGGCATGGCTTTACGAGATCTGATTCACAGTGTGGACGAAATTCTGCCGACTTTACATGAGTCTGTCAGGACTGAGGTACGCTGAGTCATCTTATATACTGTTGTTCTCCTTCAACTTTATTCCATACACGTCGTACTACCAAAGGGTTCAGATTCTTCCAGATCAGATTAGATCTGATAACTTTACAGCTGGATTCTATTGGCTCTAAACTGATTGTTTTCTGTAAACCACAGATTGAGGGAACCCAGAAGCTGCTGAACAACGACATGGCAGAGCTGATCAGTAAGATGCGTCTGACGCAGCAGAACGCCATCACCTCTCTGAAGGAGGAATGTAAAAAGCAGTTGTTGGCTGCAGCACACACACTGGCCGTGGACAGCAAAAACATGTTGGACGCTGTGGACCAAGCCAGAGTCAGGGCCAACTTAGCCAAACCTGTGGCCCCCTAGTGGACTTTAAAAGATGTGTTTCAGTTTGACCTATTTCGTTATTGTTCAGTCAGAAGCAATATTTGCGCTCAACTGAATTTTTGGAGACATAATCACTAAAATTGATCCTGCGGAAACCATGTCGCCTGTCACGGTTCACCTCTCGGACAAAATGATGCATATTCATGCCCAGGTAGGGCATAAACAATAAGGGGTGAATAGATTCTTTATAATCATTGGAGTTATTGGTTCTCTGCTCACACACACATGTTCTTGTAAATATAGATAAATGATTTTTTTTGTAATAGGAATAAAATGAAACATCTTCAAATGTACTCACGTTGGAATGGTTGTAAAAAAAGGAAATCAGTTATTAAATACTATGAAATATTCATGAATAAAATTTTGAAAGTGATTCTGCCCAAGGATCTACATTTGTTTACACCACAGCAAATGTCACGACAGGAAATGTAACAGATTTCAGTTCTTCAGTTTAATTTGGCAACGTACATTAAATCAAAGGAAATATAACACCAGAGAGATCAAGCTGTTTCTCAAAGCTCCATAAAATAAATACATTTCTTTTTTATATATTAGTTCCAAGACGAGTTATGGAGTAAAATTATTCAAACATTTAAGATCAAACATGTACAATTAATTTAATTTCTACAATTAAACCAAGAAATGCTAGTAAATCAAGGCGTTAGCTGCTGTATATTAGCGGCTAACTGCGGTGACCTTTGACCTGGAGAAAAAGTGCCACAAACATTCTTTACACAATCAGTGGAATTTGCTGCATAGGTCAAATGCAGTGGACCATCTGTAAGTAAAAAAACTTGCAGCCATTTTTTTCCTCATGCCTGACATTAGCTTCCTGTTTGTTTTACAGCTAACAGCGAGAAGCTGCACTTCACTGAGACTAAAACCAAAAATAAATTAGAAAAATGGAAACCAAAAGGTTTGCGACCCAGATTCTTAATACCAGATGTTTGCTGATGTTAACTGAATGTTTTCCTCTTGTGTGATGGTGATCAGGTTTCTTCATTCATCTGTGTGTTGAACACTTCAACTGTTCATACTTTCAGGAGTTAGATCATGCCAGCGAGCCACGGGGGCAGGAAGAGGCCGATGGTCCCGAGCAGACACACGATGATGAACATCCACAGGAAGATGCGATCAATCACCATGGCAACATACTTCCAGTCCTCTTTTACCTGTGCATCATGAACAAGAAGGAAAGATACGGAACTGTAAATAAACACTGGAGTTGTTTTTGGTGATCAGCGCTTTTTGCTCTATTTACACACACAGAAAGAGAAGCTTTGGGTCAAAGGTCTTAAATGGCATTCCTACTTCAGCTTTGCATTTTGGACAATTAACATTACCCACTCATATTACTGATGTCTCCTCCTAGTTCCTAGCTTGGATGCATCACAGGCTAACTTGACTGTCATGTCTACGTTTCACTGGACTGGTTCTAAAGAGACAAACATCTATCCATACTCACACTAAAGTCAGCGTCCTCAGCCCTCAGGTGGTCTGCAATGTAGTGCACACCTTCCAAAGCTTGAATGACACTTG